TAGCTCAACTTTTTTCACACTTCATAGAAAAGAATAATGGAAATGGTGAGATTTAATACAATAAAGTAGGCTGGGGCAATATAGTTATACACGTAAAGAAACTTACTGTGTCTGTGTGTGACGTCCTACTGCTGTAGGCTGTTAATGTACGATCTGAGTTAGGTCCCTGTTATTATTTCCATCCAGAAATTATTTCCATTCCTACCACTCATTCCAAAGGAAGCACATGCCTGAATTACACACCCCATTGCTTACAGTCATCCAGAAGGAATCTGGACTAAATCCAACAAACAACATAGTCTGTAAAACTTAACTGCCAAACCGAGTTGGCACCTAACCTTGAAGGTACATAGAGTTCTCCAGGCCTCTGACCTTCTACCTTCATGCATCACAGCTACCTCTATTTCTTAGGACTTGTTTCCTCTCTTATATTTGTGGCCAGTTGGCACCCGTATCCATTGTCCTTCTTTGGTCCATAAATCTTTACTCTATTTCTAGTCTGGGTGGCGTCAGAAGTGGTTTTCAGTTGTCCAGAACAGAGGCAGAAATTGGACAAAGGTTTTCCAGTTGCTAAGCAGGCACTAAAGTCTGACGGTCCCCAGGCTGCAGCAAGAATTACTTGTCCTTCCTGCTGGCACCAACCCTCTAGCAGAGCAGAGCCTCAGTTTCCTGGAAAGATAGGCAAAGGTGCCAAGTCTCCAGAGTTGCTCTTACTGCAGTTCACTGGAGATGTGCTTGGAACCGAGACGCAAGCGAGAGGCTGAATTCCACCCCGCTTTCTTTTTCTCTTTCCACTACATGAGGTCTGTGCAAGAGTTGCTCGATCTGGACCCTGGCATGGATCAGTGAGCTCTGTGCGTGTGGAGAGCTTCAGCACCTGCACAGGGTTCTGCATTGTGCTCAGTTCAACCATCACCTGGGTTTGATGCTGCCTAAATCTATCTTAATAAATCATTACAATCTAAGTCTATCACCTTGGCTTTCAATTTCTGTGTAAGGGATTTGCTGTTACGCCCAATTCTACCCCATTGTTCCAACTATGGAAACTAGTTACAGGATTTATAACCACAGGCGTGAAAATAAGTAGCATGACCATAAAGAGATGATCTCAAAAATACAAGTGAAAGTTAAACTCCCACTACTGAACGCTTCCATTGTATGTACCTGCCTTTCTCTTAATGGTGTTGTTGGCTGCACCTTTTCCTCTTTCCTTGTGCTTCCACTGTAGAAGAAATGTTGGCTAATGCTGAGCACAAACCAGTTGTGATTACCTTACAGGAGGTAATGGCTGACTTAATGTAAAAATAATTTTTAAAAAAAGCTCAATCTATGATCAGTGAAAGTAGTAGTTATTAATAGAACAGTTGGAAGTAAAATAATGTCTCTAAAAGTACAGCATCCACTCAGTGGGAAGAGAGGAGTTGTAAGTGAAGATACTCAGTAAAGGGTTGCTGAATCACGATGGTGTTTATTTATTTAAAACCCCCCAAATTGTAGATACCTACATGCTTGCGATAAGAAACTTGGATTCCTAGTGGGGTAGAGCAGATACAGTCTTGATCCATGTATCTGAACATCACCTTCACTATTTCATATAGAAGAGCATTTGAACAGTCAAGTTGGTTTTGTCATTTTCTTCATTTGTGAGAATATTCAGAATCAACCCCTTCTGTAATCTTGCCCAAATCTTCATTAATTCTGTGATAATTTCTTTCTTTAATTACTCAAGTAATACTTCTTTTTTTTTTGCTGCCTTTTCTGTAATATTACTGATTGCTGTTTCTGTCCTACCTCCTAAAATTGTTTTTGCCATTGATGGTGATAGGTTTTTCTCTCAGTATTTTTTAAGATCCAAATTCAGGACCAGATAGCATGTATCTGGTGGATTGAAAGTGATGGCAGTGGTGACAATGGTGACATAATATCGTCCTCATGCTTTGCAGCCTTCACACTTCTCTTTGTTATTGCTTGTTAGTACCCTCAGCATCTCCCCACTGGAAACAATCCCTCTTCTTTAACTTTAACCATTCACATCCCCTAATGACTTTGAGTCTGCCAAGCCATTCCTCAACCTTTGCCACATCGTAAATATTTAATTTTTCCAGCCTGGGATTTTGGAGGGGTCCTGCAGGAGTTGTGCACCCAAGCCCATTGAGATTCCAGGGTAGCTGGATACTCGGCTCCCTCTTGCTCCTTTGAAAATCCCAGCTTTCATCTTTTTCTTTACAAGTCATTCCCTCCTGCTGCTTAGTCAGTTCCATATATATTTGGCTCAATTTTTTACATAGTTAACTTGAAAGAGTAAGGCCAGAAAATCAATTATAAAACTAAATTGACTTCTCAATTGACGTAAAGAGAAATTCAACAAATAATATTACAGGATATTAGTTACAGTTTGCCGACTTTGAATTTTTGCATGTTTCCCGTGTACTCAGCTTGATTAAATGAACACTTTTCCTACAGAGATTCTTTGTTATTCAAAACTGGTAAAAGTGGGTAGCTTATCGCATCCGCTCTGGCTTCTGAACAACATGGCTCATCAGCGCAGTGAGAACGCCGGCTTCAGAGCTGCAGTAAACCAGTCATTTATTTGGATCCTGGCAAACACCAGCTAGACTTTGACCTGTTAGACTGGTCTGCTACCCACCGGGAGGACATCTGAGAGGGAAAATGGTCCTGCTAGCCAGGAAATGCGGGTGGCTGTATGACAGCATGTGCAGCATTGAGCTGCGTCAGTGCCCTGTAATTGAGCACAATGGGGAGCATGCTAGACGGGGGAAAAAACGCTATTTTATTAAAACAAGATACTTATCTACAAATGATGCATATTTTCTGTCTGCAGGTTCTTATTTCGAAGGGAGCAAAAGCAGGTATTTCCCAGATGGCACAGACTTCTGTCACAGCTTTCATGGATTCTTTTTCCCTTTGGTGACATAATGCAGAGAAACATTAATTAGAAGCTGCTACTGAGATACCGTCTTTGATTTTTTTTAATTTGCTTTGTTTTATTGGCAAATCATTTAAGTTATTAGTGTTAGTTGTGAGGATGAACAATCAGATTAGTTGTGGAAAAGGCAGTAAACTATTGGTAAACGCTTAGCAGAGGTTTAATTTTCAGATAATTAAGAACAATTGGGTATTTTAGATGACCACTGGTGTTCGAATAAGATTACCATTCAAAATAATTTGACAAGGTGTGTGTCAGCAATAAGAACATAATAGAATTTCCTTCACATAGTGTAAGCGTAAGGAAAATAGGCCCTGACGGTGTATTTTAAGACTAGACCAGACTTTTTTTCTATTTGTCCTGATATTTATTCTGTTTGTTTATGCTATCATCAGTGCAATTTATCCAGTTTACAGTAGTCTGAGGTCTAGATTTATGCTGCAACGCCATTACATTTCTCTTTAATATTCACAATACAGGAATTATCCATAATTTCACCCGTGCAGGGTTCAGTGTTTGCAGGCAGTTCATTGCATGATAATAAGCCTGTGGTTTTAAACTGCTAGTTATTTTTTGTAATTAAAGTACTCTATTGAAAAATCATGTTTTAAATTCCCAAGCATTTATGAAAACATATTTCTACATGCATTGTTTTTTCGGTTTTCTTTGCTGTTCGTGAGCAATCTTTAGTCCTAATGAGAGACTGTTAGGAGTTAAATAGGTCATCTTGTTCAGTAAATGGCTGTGAATACCTTTAATAGGGATTCATTTCCATTAGGTTTGCTGTGACCACTTCCACACACCCATTGCTGCTGTACTGGGTTGCCAGAAAACTCTGCTGAGTTTCAGCAGCCTGTGCCTTTGGGGCTGCTTTTCTGTCCCAGCCTTGCAGCTGAAATGGCTATTACGTATTCCTGTAATCACCCTGGCTTCAGAATAAGCTTATTTAGGCTTTTTTGTGATTTCATTTAATGAGACAAAGCAGCAATCCTTAGTGCTCTTCACCTTAGCCTTGCCCGGTGTCACAGGCATTTAATCTTTGGTGTTGTGACCCCTTCATCCTGAAATATTTCCCCTTGGCATAAGACATGGATGTGACAGGCAGGGCTGGGGCACCAGCAGTGGCACTGCGTTCACCATAGCCCAGCCAGTGCTTATGCCATAGCCCCAAATTAAGTAAACCAAGGGAAAAATGTAGAAATGCGTAGGCAGAGCCGGGCGATGCCTCTGTGTGACATCCAAACAGAAGAGCTCTTGTGTTGCAGAGGAGTGGTAAGCAGGAGGCTGCAGGAGGGGATTTGTGGGATTGAGGAGATGCTTTCCTCTACATAAAGGGGATGTTTCTTGCAAGGCTGAAAGCATTTGGTCACTATTGCTGTCTGCAGCGAAATGGAAAGGAAAACAGCCCCATGCCACAGTACTAAGTGAGGATGGGGGGCTGCTAAAAACAAACAATTTTCATGCCTGTGATGTACAAACACAAATGAAAACTGGCCTCAATTGGTTGTTATTCACGTGAAAATGTAAACAAGTGAATCCTGGTTTATAGGCAGTCGGCCATCAATATTTGTATCACATACTTTGAAAAGTCACCCCATCTTGTTGTCGGCATCGTAACTGATATGTAATTACAAATATCCTTCCTAGAAATGAAATCTTTGCTGTAACATCAGTTATTACTTAAAAACACATTAATTGTGCCAGAAATCCTGTCCCATTATTCAGTACTATGGCATTTCACTAGAAGTCTTGGAAAGAGGTGGAAAGTAGACCACAGCAAAACAGCACGGTCTTTATCCAGTTGGAAGTAAATAGTATAGGAGTCCCTAAAACAGCTGAATCGGGGTGGACAAAAGATGACTTTTATTAATATTGGATTCTTACCTTTGAACCACATTTCTTTTCCTTCATATGCTTTTAAGTATCTTTAGAACAGAAGCATGATTATATCGTAGCTCGGTATGGCCGTGGATGTGCATGTAACAACCCCAGGCGGTTGGTGTCTGTATGATTTACTAGGGTCTCTTGTACTGTCCATCGCTTTTGTATATAGGTGTGTGATCCGAATATTATGCAAACCCGAACTCGACAAGTGCTAAGGTCTTCTGTCAATACGAAGCCCTGCCCTGAAGATTCACAAATGAAGCCATGTATTCTTAACCAAAATTGCTTCCAATATCAGTACAATCTAACAGGTAGGTATAACTTTCCAGTATACTCTTAGCAGGAAGTGACAGCAGTTACAACATGTATTAAATTGATGTTCTGCTTTTCCATATATCTTTGTATAAAAGATTCAGCTCCTTAAAGGCTTTCTCCAGTTGTGTTTTCAGTTATGTTTGCTAGTGGTGTTGGTTAAAGCCTTGACATTAAAACAGTTATGTGTAGACATCACTGATTTCACTAAAGTTAATTACATGCCTACATTTTTTTTTTGTCCACAGGTTAGTGAACAAATGCACAATTTTCAATTTAAGTTGTCATTGCAGGTACACTGGAAATAAGACAGGTTAAATGGGATCTCTTCTTTTTGGTGGGTTATCAACAGAGTTAATTGCAAAATTCCAGTTAAAAGAGTATCATCTGTGTGATTCAGGTGAAGCCAATAATACCAACAAAAGTCTGGTTTGAAGGCAAATGTGGGTTATATGGGTGGGCATAAGATATTCAGAGCAAAATGCATTATTTAGTACCTTAGAAGCAATTAGATCTGTTGCAAACGAACTAACAAAACAAAACAAAAAAACAACAAAAAAAAAGGAAAAATTCCTTTTGTTTTGACCAGCTCAGATAAATGAGAAAGGTGGAGAGAGGAGAGATCTAAGAGGATTTTGGGGGCTGGTGGGAAGGGAGAACAAAACAGGATAAAATATCTGAATGTAAACTCAGCCTATTTGAAATAAAAGCCCTAGAAACACACAGGCAGCAGGACGATGCCTTTTTTTATCATCACATTTCAGAAATGCAGAATATTTATGTGTTCATGTTTATCAGAGGTGGAAGACACAAAGTAATAGGTTTTCTTCTCATATGCTTCTTATTTGTTGGTGGTGTATGGAAATTTTAGTGGTTTGTCTTATGCTTTTTATTTATTTTAAATGGTGTTTTAAGGTTTATTCCAGTTTAGTTGTATTCTGACCATCATAATTTCAGACAAGTAGTAAGATGAATTTTCTTCCAGTAGAAATACTGTTTTTATTTCACCAGTATTAGAGCTTAGTTTTAAATAATGGAAACCAGAGCTACCCTTCAGAAACTTCCCCAGCTATTTTATCAAAGTGAAATTTTACTTCAAACAATACCGTCTTGTAAACGCGCCAACTGGGTTGAACTGATACACTTTATCAGCGTTTAACAGTTTTCTGTGCACTCTGACGCACCGGCTTCGCTAAGGGGATACCTGAGTGCAAAGCCAGCGGTTTCTCCTCCGAGACTTGCTGGGGTTTAAGAGCAGCCTTCTTTTTGGGTCGTTCTTGGGTTTGGGCTGCCCCGAGGCGGGGAAGCGCTGCCCTAGGGGAAGAAGGTACCCCGCACCTTGGGTAGAAAGACGTGAAGAAGGGGACGACGGCCGTGCCCCGCAGCGCCCGCGTCCTTTGCTTTGTGTCCGCAGGCTGGAGCGGGTGCCAGCTGGGCGCCAACGCCGCCTGCGGGCGCGGAGAGCGCCGTCGCCTCCTCAGCTGCCGCCGCAGGGACCGGGCCACCGTCAGCACG